CTGATTGCATAGCTATGGCTAAATCAAGTTTACCAAACCAGGCTTTTATTTGTAAATCTACACTAGAATCCCAAGAAATATTGCAATCTAAAATTCTGCCGTTACCACCACCTAAGAAAGCAAATATTAGGACAAAAACATGTTCATGCTATGAATAAATGAATGAATAAAAATGAATGATTAAAAATAAATGCATAAATAAAATCGAATAAATAAATGAAAATGAATGAATGAATGAATTAATTAATTAATAAATGAATAAATGAATAAATATGTGATTGAGTGAGTGGGTGAATAAATGAATGAATTAAATAATGAATGAATGAGTGAAAAAATTAGTGAGAATAAATGAGTGAGAGAATGAGTGAGTAAATGGATGGACGAATGGATGGAATATTATTGTTATTATTATTATTATTATTATTATTATTATTATTATTATTGTATCCTTTTATCCCTGTATAATTTTCTTTTTTTCTCTTTTTTTTATTTTAAAAACTTTAGTTGGGCACCAACTCCGCCACTGTTCCAAAAAAACTATTATTATTAGTTCTAATAAAAAAAATACACATGTGTTTTATAACCATAATTAATAAAATGAATGAAAATATGAATGAATAAATGAATAAAAATGAATGATTGAAAATGAATGAATAAATGAATAAATAAAACTTTAGTTGGGCACTAACTTCGCCACTGTTCCAAAAAAAATTATTATTATTAGTTCCAATCAAAAAATACACATGTGTTTTATAACCATAATTAATAAAATGAATGAAAATATGAATGAATAAATGAATAAAAATAAATGATTGAAAATGAATGAATAAATGAATAAACAAAATCAAATGAATAAATGAAAATGAATGAATGAATGAATGAAAAAATGAATGAATGAATGAAAAAATATATTATTTAATTAATAAGTGAGTGAATAAATAAATGAATTTACAGGGGCGGATTTATGAATGAGTGAGTAAATGGATAGACTAATGGATGGAATATTATTATTATTAATATTATTATTATTATTTATATTGTATCCTTTTATCCTTATATAATTTTCTTTTTTTCTCTTTTTTTTATTTTGAAAACTTTAGTTGGGCCCCAACTCCGCCACTGTTCCAAAAAAACTATTATTATTAGTTCTAATAAAAAAAATACACATGTGTTTTATAACCATAATTAATAAAATGAATAAAA